ATTGATCAAGTGGGTGTGGGTCAAAATCAAACCACCAGGGGACCAGATTTTAGTCCATGTTTCCTCTTACCGATCGCGTTTTATTTTGGGTACCGGTTTTTTCACTTTTCTCGAGATTCCGGCAGCTCGCTTTGGCTGGCAATCTGGGTATGGGCCCAGAGAGTCCGTGGCAGGATGCTGAGTGCTTGACGGGCATTAGAAGGCAATACTGTGGATGGACAAAATCCATTTCGCACCACCCAAGAAACAATGGGGAACCATTGTTTGTTGGTATTTACAGGGGAATCATCATTCCCAAGGTTGCTTAGGTGGTGCAGGATTTCGTCCATCCACAGTATGTTGAAGCGGCGACAGGCGAAGCAGTCGGTCTGGCGACTGGCACCGACTTGCTGCAAGCGGCGGAAAGAGGCGACACACAACATGTGATAGAGCTGTTGCAGAAGCCTGAAGATCGCAACCCTGCTGACAGAGACGACCATGTGACACCTTTGTTTAATGCTTCTGCAAACGGCCATTTGGAAGTAGTGCACTGCTTGCTGGATGCCGATGCTGACAAGGAGAAGGCAGACGACCAGGGATTTACACCATTGCATATTGCAGCAGCGCACGGCCATCAGGCAGTTGTGCAGTGCTTGCTGGATGCCGGTGCTGACAAAGAGACAACGACCAACTATGGCGCCATGCTTTGCACTTTGCTGCAGAACAGGGACATCAGGCAGTTGTGCAGTGCTTGCTGGATGCCAGTGCTGACAAAGAGACAGCAGACAAGGATGGCGCCACACCGTTGCATGTTGCTGCCATGCAGGGCCATCAGGCAGTTGTGCTTGCTGGATGCCGGTGCTGACAAAGAGACAGCAGACAAACCATGGCGCCAAAGCGTTGGAATTTGTGACCGATGCTGCTGCTGCTGCTGCTGAACGGCTGCAAATATGCAATGACCTTCCTGGTCAAATGCTTGTGGCGGAGGGCATGGAGGGGAAAAGGTTCTCTGCATGTTAAACCCAAGCTTATGGTTTCGATCCAATCTTGTGGAAGGGGATAGGTATCAAAAACAAACTTATTAGGCATCAACAAAAACTTATTAGGCATCAACAAAAACTTATTAGGCATCAACAAAAACTTATTAAGCATCAAACAAAACTTATGCTCATTCCTATGGGGGGAAGGAAGGAAGGAAGGAAGGAAGGAAGGAAGGAAGGAAGGAAGGAAGGAAGGAAGGAAGGAAGCAAGCAAGCAAGCAAGCAAGCAAGCAAGCAAGCAAGCAGGCAAGGAAGGAAGGAAGGAAGGAAGGAAGGACCCCCCTTAACAACCCCGCTGATTTGTAGAAGGTTGACAGTGATTAACGCACCCTTTGCTGAATCATCACTTCTTCGAGCATCATGGGGGGGGCTGCCGCCCCCCCCAACCCCCCCGCTGATTTTCAGAATGTTTGCAGAGATTACCGCACCCTTTGCTGAATCATCACTTCTTCGATCATCACCACCCTTTGTTGAATCATCACTTCTTCGAACATCATGGGGGGGGCTGCCGCCCCCCCAACCCATTGCTGATTTGTAGAATGCTTACAGAGCTTAGCGCACCCCTTGTTGAATCTTCACTTCCTCGAACATCATGGGGGGGGCGGCCCCTCAACCCCCCAGCTGATTTAATGCTGCGCCTGCGTCAAACTCTGCACCGTACCTTGCGAAAGTGCTGCGCCTGCCGCGAAATTGGTACCTCTTGCGAAAGTGCTGCGCCTGCCGCGAAATCTGGACCGCACCTTGCGAAAGTATTGCACCTGCCGCGAATCCGTACCTGACCTTGCTAAAGTGCTGCGCCTGCCGCGAAATCTGTACCTGAACTTCCTCACCCCGCTGATTTGTAGAAAATTGACAGTGCTTAACGCACCCTTTGCTGAATCATCACTTCTTCGATCATCATCACGCTTTGTTGAATCATCACTTCTTCGAGCATCATGGGGGGGGCTGCCGCCCCCCCCAACCCCCCCCGCTGATTTTCAGAATGTTTGCAGAGATTTCCGCACCCTTTGCTGAATCATCACTTCTTCGATCAGCACCACTCTTTGTTGAATCATCACTTCTTCGAACATCATGGGGGGGCTGCCGCCTCCCCCAACCCATTGCTGATTTGTAGAATGCTTACAGAGCTTAGCGCACCCCTTGTTGAATCTTCACTTCCTCGAACATCATGGGGGGGGCTGCCGCCCCCCCAACCCCCCCGCTGATTTAATGCTGCGCCTGCGTCAAACTCTGCACCGTACCTTGCGCTGCGCCTGCCGCGAAATTGGCACCTCACGTGCCACGAAATCTGTACCTGACCTTGCGAAAGTGCTTCGCCTGCCACGAAATGAATAAGTTTTTTGGATCCCTATAAAGTGTTTGTTTGATCCTGTGATTTTTCATTTTTAATAGTAAATCAATGAGAATAAGTTTTTTTATGATTGCTAATAAGTTTTGTTTTGATCTTTAGAAATAAGTTTTTTTTTGATGCCTAAAAAGTTGTTTTTTGATCCCTCACCCCTTGTGGAAGACCCCCACATTCCTCCCGTTACACTTTAATCACAGCTGAAGGCCCATAGCCCGAACCAGCACAGCACATATTAGCCCCATAGCCCCATAGCCCCATAGCCCCATAGCCCCATATTTGGTGTTCCTTCTTTTCATGCACAACACATATGTCCGAGCAACTTATGACGGACTCATGGCTTCGAGGGTAAACCGGGATCACCAATGAGTCGCTTGCTTGGCGATGCCGCGTTGGCTTGTTTCTGGTTTGCGGCTTATTGTAAAGCTGTCAGATTTATTAGCCTCTGGTTGTTCAATAGGCAATGTCCGGTTTCAGAGGGAATCCGCAGAGGGAATCCGCATCACTTTTGGGGGCGACCCTAAGTTTGCCCAGATGTTTGCAGCAACCAGCTGTGGCTGGAGGGCTATTATCTTCTTTCCCTTCATCTTGAGCCAGGAGTCTTTTGAGACCCTGTTCATAGAAACCAGCTACAGAAAATTCTACAGGAACTAAAATCAGGGATTTCCTACAGAATTTCCTGTAGTCGGTTTGATAGATCTGTGTTTGGATTGCCCCAAGATGCGCAGATTTGCGTTGCAACCTTGCCTCTCCATGCTTTTGCCAAAGCCCTTGGATTCCTCAACCCTTTGGTTCAGTGTAGATGGTTTTCGAAGGTCTGCAGGGCCAACTAAACTAGGTCCCCCAGTAGTGCCCTTTTTTCTCCCTCCCCTTTTTTGGTTGGGAGGGTTCCCCTTAAAAAAAAAGGTTCCCCTATTCAAACCTCCAAAACTGGAGGACCTACTCTACCAGCAAGTCTGGTTTTCTGGGGGTTTAAGTCTGGGTCATGGCCCAAAAAAGGTGTGGTGGAGGACCTAGTAAAGGGGGCCCCATTTGTTTGCCAGCCAGGCGCTTAGGATGAGTTCCTCCCAACTTATTGGGGAAGTCCCCGCCCCCTTAAAAATGGAATTGGGGGAGGGGGGTGACCCCTGGAGATCTCCATTCATAGTTCCACTTTCCCTAAAGACTAGAGAAATGGAATCGGGGGGTTCCCCCAGGGCTTTGGGGAAGTCCCCAGGCCTCCCAAAGGGAGCGATGCAGCTTCGTTGAGCGGTCGAATCCAGGTCGCTGCCAGCCGGAGGCACGGGTGGGGTGTGTGTCTCCGTGCCCTGCAGTGAGCGGGTTCTCTTTTCTAGGGCTTGATTCCGTTTCCATGCCTTTCAACCATCGTTCTTTTCAACAGCCAGCTGTTTCCCCAGGGCTTTTGGAGGTTAACTAACATGGAACCTGTCGTTCGCGGGGGTCCTGGTTTGGAGCATTTTCCTTTTAAAGGGGCAGGGTCCCTGTCAGGTTCCATCTTGATTGGTGGGAGGGTAACCCAACAACAAAGTAGGTTGAACATCCTTAAGTATTTGAACTCAGGAAGTCCTAAGGTACAGCGATCCTTTTTGGGCAAGCTCTAGCCTCCAGGGGTCCTTTAGGACGATTGATTCCGGTGTCGCTGACGGAACGTGTGTGTGTGTGTGTGTGCTGTTGTCTCGCAGGGCTCCCTTGGGTGGTAGCAGCATTACGCCCCCCAAGGTGTCTTGACCCAGCCCCTACTTCAGTGGCACCCTTTAAGTCCTCTTGTCTAGGTCCCCCAGTAGTGCCCTGTACCCTTTTTTGGGGGCGGGTCCCCCTACTAAAAACACTACAGAAGAAAGGGTACCCTTATTCTAACCTCTTTACTGCAGGACCTAGTTGTTATGTGGCGAGTTCCCCGCTAAACGTGGAATCCACCAACGAGCATAGGGTCCGTTTTCTTGGCGTTCGGCTCGGCATTTGCGCCAGGCGCCTGAGCTGAACTTTCTGATGTCCAAAGACAGGCTGCAGGGCCCGGATCGCATCCAGCGGGGCAAACTTTTTGGGACTCTCGCTCGAAGGGGCGAACTGTGGATGGTTGCGAAATGTTGCACCACTTTGTTTGTTGGTATTTACAGGAGAATCGACATTCTAGTCTAGGGCTTCTTAGGTGGTGCGAAATGGATTTCGTCCATTCACGGTATGGCAAAGGGCAAAACTAAGCCGAACTGTTTGCTAGACCGCATTTCCCGTGAAGAACCAGCCAAGCGCCCTGTGCAACTGTTCAAAATGATCCATGAGCACCTTGCTTGCTTGACTGGTAAGACACTCCGCTGCAACTTATTCCGATGGAGGTGTGCAGGCGACGACGACGAATTGGGGCACTCAACTTGTTTTTTTTGCCAAACCCAGCAAGTCGGCGCGGGCTGATTTAACTCTCTGCAGCACTTAGCCCAGTTGGAGATTGATTGCTTCCTGCTTCGTGGGGCGTTGAATCAGTCGTTTTTCTTCTGAGACCCCCTTGCCTCATTGCGGTCAATTTTGAGGCGGGCGAAGCACGAGTGTTGTGGCTTTCACCTTAAGGGAATTCCCAGCCAGTGAGCTCTCTTTTTCATGGGGTGGTTTGCCATTCACAATCAGCCAACCGCAAAGAGCAGCCCATCCGTTCGCATGGTACCAGCGTTTCGCCGGTCAAAGGCGCAGCCCGAAAACGAAGAGATGAGCCCAATACCCCGCCTCTCAGAGATCAAGGGTTTAGGGGTCAAACCAAAGGGTTGCCATAGGCCAGGCCTTCAGTACACCTGTCTTCCTGGAAAGCAGCCTGTATTTGTTCAACAAATTGTTGACAAAAAGCCGTAAATGACCGCATGGCCATTTTTTTGTGGCCCAAGCCGTATGGACAGAGAAAAACGTGACATATGATAGGTTTCCAGGTTGACTATCACACCTGGTGCCTTCTTGGCCTTTTGGTTAGAGCAAACGCCTTCTGGTAGATGTGGTTAAGACGAGTCAAGCCTCTGCTGACCACGAGCCGTTTCGCCTGTTTTTTGCGAGGCGAAACCCGCCGTGTAGGCCGGGCATGGGAGAGTCGATGCCACGTTTGGACCTTTGGACCTTTGGACCCATGCGGTGGGGTGTCATTAGAGACGTGGGTCTTTTGGGTTGATGTTGAGACCTTATTCCGAAGTAGATAGCACTTGAACAGTCATGCCTTACTTTTGCTCACGTTCTTTATTCCAATCCAGAGACTTTGGAGCAAATTCCTGAGACGTGGTGTCACTTTGACGAGAAAGATGCTCCAAAAATGAGCGATGGGCAAAGTTCCGAGCGAGACACAGTTTGGCTGAAAGGACTGGGTGAAACATAGCAGATGGGCGTGAATGTGGATACAAAGACCCCAAAAAGCCGCTGCATTCACAGGTGTCATGTCAAAGCTCCATAAAGATTTTATTTGAACAGGGCTACAACCCCAGCAACTCCCAGTCAGTCACAATGCTTGTAAATTGCACCCCCTCATCCCCTACGCAAGCTTTCCCAAAGTTTGTAAAGCTTGTGTTAATGATAAGCGGCTTTGGTCTGTAGAGTTGAGTGGAAGCACTGAATGAATAATCCGTTTGAGGTGGTGTGCCTCTGGGACCCTGTACTGTTGGGGGAGACATCTCCAGAGACATCCGGCTTGAGTCCGATCCGTTTGGGTCCGAATCCCACCAAATGAGACACCCCAAAAAGCGGGATTTGTCCAAATGGCTCTTCATCCCTGGAAAAAGTACTTGTTGGGATGGTTTTCAAGGGAAAGCACCTGGAAAACCAGCTAGTTACTGGGGGGGCAGGTTCTCTGGTGACACATTCTCCTTGGTTTGGGCGGCTTCCAGCCGCGGCCGAAGGAAGCCACTCGTCGCCAGCCCAAAGGCGGAGAGCCTCAGATGTCGGCCGTGGAGTTTTCTTGGCGCTCGGGGAATGAGGTTTTGGAATGACACGTCTAAACCAAGTGAGCCACGTGCTCAAAACCTGGGTAGATGAAGGTTAGTAAGGGGCAGTCGCCAGAAATAGTTGCGGATATCCGCCTTCTTATTTCTGGAAGCATGGTTCTGGGTAGACCATTTTAATACCGGGTTTTGAGCATGACTCAAGTGGTGCTCAGGCGCAGGACCCGCATCGAAGCCTCTTTTTTACTTGCTGGTGCGAGAGATGCAGGGTTTTTGGTAAATGGGATGACCCGTCTAAAAACATCCAACTGCTGAAATCCTTTGGGGAATCGCACCAGCGAGTTGTTTGGGGTATCTTCCATGTCGGGATAATCTGAACAGACCGCATGGCAACGCGAAAAGACTTCCGTTGGAAAGACAGCTTTCCTTTAGAAGCACCTCTCTCAAGTGTCATGTTTGAGGAGCCAGGCTCAGTTTTATGCCCTACTTACACATAGGCACACATCACATCCAGTACATCCAGTACATACGTGACACACACATTACAAACACTACACACACACATGACACACAGGAGATCCATTACTTCCATTGCATGTTTACTTTAATCACGCTACATTGATTAGATGTAATACACACATTGCATCCATGCCGCACATCGCATGCCTTGCATGCAGTAGCCATGGCATGGCATGGCATCCCATCCCATCCCATCTAATCTCATCTCATCCCTAGCGCGTACGTACATATGTACATACGTTTGTTTGATTGTTTGTACCTGCGTGCATGCATTCCATTGCATTACATTTTATTGCATTTTATTGCAGTGAAATGCAGTGCATTGCTTTACATTGGCACTCATGCATGTATGCATGCGCATACATGACAGTACGTTGTATTACGTTGCGTTATGTTACATTACATTATAGTACATCACAGTACATTACTTTCCATTCCACGACACCCTTCCTCCAATGAGAGCCGGCCATCTTTCAGCCGAGTGCCAGCCACCAGCTTAAGCCAAGGTTGGCACGCACCAGAGCCTCCGCTCGATTAAAGACGAAAGCCGCCCCAAAACCCCCCCACAAAATTGAAATCATAAACCATACTATTTGAGAGAACTGGCCCAAACTTTTGCTGCGATTTACTTTCGAAGTTCCCGACATGTCTACTCAGTGAAAGAAACGCAGCCAGGATGGACAGTCACCACTTACAGGTTGACAGGCTCTTGAAAGCTACCCCTTCTAAGGCCTGGGCGAACCTTTTACCTTCATGTTGTTGCATGGCAGACGTGAAACAAGGCAAGACTGGAGAGGGCTGGAGAGGGCTGGAAAGTGGCGCATAAGCCTCCAAACAAGTGATTGTCAACCTTGGGGCGAGCTGAGGGTACTTCACCAGGCACATGGAATTCGCGGGGAAGGCATACCATGCAAGCCAGAATGAACGAGAAAGGGCGTCATTCAGCAACTGTTTGGGGCCCCAGTGTCTTTTGCCGGCAGCTCGCTCTTGAGAGCACAGATCTGCAAAGTGAGCGATTTGGGCTGAGTTGCAACTGCAACTCTCCCTTGGTGTCAGAAACAAGGCCCAAAGTGTTTCCCCCCAGACGAAACCCTAGGTCTTTTAGTCGTGCCCTTCTCTCCCCTTTTTTGGGGAGGGTTCGCTTACCAAAATAGACAAAAAAAAACATTGGGTACCAATTTCTTCTAAGCTCCAAAACTGGAGGACCTAGTACTGGTAAACAACAAGTTTGGACTTTTTGCCAACACACTCAGGAAGTGGATCTGGTGTGTTTGTTTTCCTATAGGGCTTGTGTTTTTCTAGGTGTTTCCCCCCCCCCACACGAAACCGCAAACCCCATCCGGAAATTACACACTGCAGGTGGAGAAGATTCAGATCCCACAGGAGGCGCGGGTCGCCGGGAGACTGGCGCTGAGTGGCCGACATCGCGAACATTCTGTGTCATGCGTGTTATTTTCCTTCCTTTTTTTTGTTTTTCTGGAGGCCAAAACGGCAACCGCCCCTTTTGGTGAGCTTTAAAGGGAAAACCGAAGGGAGACCAGAGGTGAACCAAGCATTTCAAAAGAAAACCAAACATTATTGGGGTGACCCTGGGTTTGAGAAGGTGATGAAACCAGCTCCAGCCCCATGAAGAGCCCTTTCTACCAGATCGCAAGTTTCTGTGCTGAATCACAGCGTTTAGACATGAAACCAGGCAGGCCGACTCATTTTACCCCATGATAGAGCTTACTCAAGTTTCCTCCAATCACATCCCTGTCGTGTACCCCTGAGGTTGAACCTCAACAAAGGAAGCGCCAGCAACTTTTACTGATTTGTGGTGCACCGACCGTTTGTTTCTTCCCCGTGCTAGTGCGGGTTCCGCACCTCGAAGCCTCTCCTTTTCGTGGGCCCTCCAAGGGAATATCCCAGGCGGCATGAAGATGTGAGTCGGCCAAGCCACTGGTCTCATGGACAGGCGGAGACAAGAGTATCTTAAGCTGGCAAGCGTGGATCCGCTTCATCCAACTCTTGCGTGGTCAAGGGCAATCATTTTGCCATGTTGAGTGGAAAGGGGGGACACGGTGAGACCACCCAAAGTCACAAAGACCACGCAGCATGGGACAGTTTTCCAATGAGAGTACTTTCGTCCGGGGCTTATTGCACTGGTCAGATGATGCTAGTCATGGGGAACCACGGCCCGCCGACGGAGCGTTAAACGCCTGCCGCCCAAAGAGGGATCCCAGAAAGACCTGGAAAGGGAAAGAGGTTGAATCAACTGCCAAATATTCTGGCTAAGCTGGTTTAGCAGACAGCTTGCTAAGCTGGTTCAGCACCGTTTTACCGTTTTTCCCCGAGAATCTATACACCGACCCCGCCGAACCAGCACAGTATTCTTGGTCTAGAGCTTGAGGGCGAGAAGGGACCAGTGTTCGCTTGCCATCCTAGTTGTCCGATTCGCGTTTCTTCCCTTGACTGCTATTGGGTTGGATCTTTAGACTTTAACTTTTTGGGAAGCAAAGGTGTTTTCCACCAAACCCCCAAAAAGTTGAAACTTTTTGCAGGGGGGTCAACAGCAACCAAGTTCCTTGCTCTTTAGTTCCGAGAAAACTTGGACCGCAGTTCCCCCTTGCAACACGTCCTCACGTCGCCAACCCCGTTGACTCGCTCTTGGCTCAGACTTGGGGTTGTCTCAAATTCCGGCACCCCCAAAGTAGTTGGTTTGCCTTTGGTCCCACAAAGGATACCATCCAACAAAGTGCATTTGTTACATGAAACCACCAAAAGTTTAGACACCGTCCAAAAACAGTTGCATTTTCTTCAACTACCCAACTTGGGTTTGCTTCGCGGTTTTCGTGGTTCTCCGTTAAAAATCCACCCCCCCACCGTCTACCGAGCGAGCGAGCCGGAGACGTCTCGTTTATGTATCAAGCCACCAAACTTGGACATCCCAAAAAGTGCATTCTTATTAATCCACCATCCAACTGGTCTGCTTTCCTGTTCGTGCTCCGTTAAAGCCACCCACAGAAAGAGGCTCCGTTTTCCAAAGAGACGAGCCACGAGACACGTCGAGACAGGTGTGGCTGGCGGCGGGCAAGAACCGGAAGGCCAACTTCCTGGCGAAGGCCCTGCCAGGAGCCCCAGGAGCCGCCGAAGGAGCCGAATCTTAGCACGCGCCGTCCGGCAGAAAAACATCTCACCTTGAGCAGGGCTCCGGAAAAAAGTGGTGGCCATTTTGCCTTACCACTTGAAACATGTGACGCTTTTGCAAGACCGAAATACGGGGAAACCACCATTGAGAAGTTGCAGTGTTCAGGTGTTTTTCATGTAAGGATCCCTGTTGAAGCCAATGGGGGAGTCGAGGGTAAGGCGTAGATACCGCTGAAAAGCTGCACGACTTCTTTGGCAATACCTCGACCAGATTCCGTTCCTTATACCTCGGGACTAAGCAAAGGGGGTCTCTTGAAGCAAAGGGGGGGGGGGGAGGGAGCCGAAAGAATGCCATTTGGCGGCAAGAAGTGGTAACAAAGTGGCACCTTGGCAAATGGAAGCAAGGACTAAGACCCGCGGTTTGCCCCCAGCTCTGTAATTTTGACCGAAGGATGCATAGGCCATTTGCCTTTGGTTCCTTTAAGTGGATGGGTAGTTCACGGGGGCTGGGGGGGCGGGGGAGGGGGGGAGGGAGGGAGAGGGAGGGAGAGAGGGAGGGAGGGAGGGAGGGAGGGAGGAAGGGAGGGGGGTTTACCTTTTCCAACAGAGAACTTCAAGTGGATAGGTAGTTCGGGGCTGGGGGGAGGAGGGGGGAAGGCCGTATTCAAGGCTAATTTGGGCTTCGTTGGTCAATTTGGCTAGTGCCCCGATGTGACTTCCCCAGAATTAGCTCCCCCTTTTTTTTTGGGGGGGGGGGGCTCCCCTTTGTTTTCCACTAACCAGGAAAAACATGTGCTGGGCTCCTAGTTCCAGCCAAGGTGACAGGTTTGAACTTGTCGACTTTTCGTATTTCTTCGGGAAGCTGGCATCTACAAAGTTGAGAGGCTTCATGAAAGCCAGCAGGCTTTGAGCCATCGGCGGAACGCAGGACGAGCATCAAGGAGAATCTGGAGAAAAAAGCATGGCGTGAACCAAGCCATTATGTATGTACTGACAACCATTTTTTCCTATCTCCCTCTCCCTCTCTCCTTGTATATATATATATATATATATAATATAGATACACATGGTGACACCAGACACCACCAAATTACCGTGGGTTGAACCTCCTTGGCCCAAATTTTGGGCCAACTTGACTTCATTGCCCGCCCTTTCTGCCCCACCCCGAGGCTGTCCCCGCCCCCCAAGCTGCTCTTCTCGCTGCTGACCTTCCTCGAGGTCAGTTCTGGTCGCGTCGCCGAGTCGCCGATTGGCCTGGCCCTGTGGAGGCGAAATCTGGCACCACGAAGTGAAACCGCGGGAGACCATACCGTTTGTTGGGTATTTGCAGGGGAATGGGAATCACATGATTCCCACGGGTTTCTTGGGTGGTGCCTAAGAGGATTTCGTCCATCCACAGCAGGTTCTACCTGCTTTGGGGGGTTCGGGAGGGCAGGGACACATTGTGACAAGGTCACTTTTGCAAGTTGAGAACCTTGTAAAGTAGTGGGATTTTGGATGTCAATGAACCCTGGTGAAAGTCGACTCTCTGAAGGCGTCGACTCTTTGAGACCCCCCGTATTGACGCTGGACCTTTGACATTTCACTGTGATTTGTTGTCAGGTCCAGGGAACAATGATGTTTCTTCGTTCACGCAGTGAATCGACAAGATTTCACTTCGCACAGTGTGGATGGAAGCAACCCGACATTAAGATTGATTGACAGACCACCCAAGAAGTGGAGCATAGTTTCGTCCATCCTCAGTAATTATGTCTCTTCTGCTTAATTTGAACATCATTTGTGCGGCCAATGTGAATTGAGTTTCACTTTCTCAAACATGTCCATTTCCACTTTCCACTCGTTCATGCCCCAAATCATGAAACAGCCTCACAAATACAAAACGTCAACCACCGAAGTGATTCGTATCTTATTAGGAAGATCTCACATTTTCTCAATTTGGTTTTCTTCTGAACAGATTTTGCAACTAGTGAACTGGAGAACTGGAAGAATCTCTAGCCGAGTTTGAGAGTCAAACCCACAGGTTAAGCGGAGGGACTCCCAGTTGATGCCAAAACATCACCGGTGTCAGCAGTGAGGTGCCTAAGTTTAGTTCAGTGGGGAGGATCATGGCCATGCGAGACGAGCCGCCTGCTTACTTCCTTGCTGAAAGGCTGGATCTACCAAGAACTTGTTCAAACAAAACCTTCTTGTTCGCCAGTCTAGCGTGTCCACAAAGTAACCACCTTCGAACATTCCAATCTTGGTAAGAATTGGTCACAAGTCGAATCTGAACATACAACGCTACATCGATTTATTAATGTGTGCCAAACGCTGTATAAGTAGCATCAAGCAATACTGACACAAGTTCTGCCGCCCACAGCAGCTGTACAACCATAGAATTGCTCTTGTTGCCTGACTTGTGCTCATTTTCGCACAGCCCGCATTTTCCAGGTCTTGTTGCAAGCGCCGCATGTGATTTGTAAGGTTTTTGAGGAATCGAGAAAACAAAAAAAACAACAAGAAACAACAAAAGAAGAAAAACAACGTACTATCCGCCTAGGGAGGAGAAGGGGGGACTACCCAGTTCTCGCCCAATTTCCCGAAGTCCAGGGAAAGAGAAAAAGATCCGTGGAACCATGGGCCGAAGCCCAATGGCTCCCAATGATCCATGTGCTCGAAGGATGACCTCACTTGGATCGGAGTCCTTGGGCAATCTTTGGTCTCATCCCGTTCTCTTAATTGGTAACCAGGGTACAGTCAGCCTGGGACCCCATATGGCTGTATTTTTTATAGGTCATACGCTTTTGACCGAAAAAAATGGCCATACGGATTTTTACGGATTTTGTTCAACAACATGTCGAAAAAATATGGGTTTCATACGGGTGATTTACGCAAATGACCGAAAAATCATGGCCATACGGGGCCAAATACGGGAGTTTGGAATTTCGACCAATTCCAGGCTTGGCCAAGCCCTTTTCCGGGAATGTGCCAAGCCGTCCGCCGGAAAAAAAAAGCCACCCTGCCGGTGGCACCGTTTCTTGGTGGCTCCCAGCCATCCGGTTCAACTTTGCTTTTTTTAGGTCCTAGGGTTAAAATAGCTTCCGAATTTCGCCCAAAAGTTGGTAGCTTCCGAATTTCACCCGCTGAAAGCGAGTCACTTTTAGCGGGGGGTCCGAAGGCGGGCAGCCCATGATTTTCTCTCCAGGTGTCCGAGGTCCTCGACCTGGCGATGGCGGCCCGTGGCCTGGCAGGCCGAGACGCCGATTCATTTGGGTGTGGTTTGAGGGCACTCAAAATATGCTGGACCAACCAAGGGCACTCTTTTTTTGCGACTGTCGGCAAAATCCGCGCATTTTATTGAAATCCATACATTTGAGCAAAAACTGTACTTTTCTTGCAGACTCAACGCATGTACGGAAATTTCAGTACTTTTGGAGGGTTCAGGTATGCTGGACACACTCAAAAGGCTGTGGTTGTCAAAACCAGTGGGATACCATTTTGGCTGGTAGATGAATTCACCACCCATAGTGTGTTTTAGTGGGGATTGGGATGTTAACTGAAAGTACGCGCTTTTGAGCCACGGCCAAAATATGCTGGACACAGTCAAACGCCAAGCGAAAAAGCGCGACAAACTCAGACCCCTCCCGTTGGATCACTTGTGACCTCAACATTTCGGAGGTTTGGGAAGACCACATTCCTCTCAAAAGGATCTTGTGGTTCCACGTTAGGGGGAGGCTGGCGGACGGTGTTTTGTGCTAGGGCTCCGTTGCGTGGGCCCAAAAAAAGCAGGGCGTATTTCTAACAAACCTGAAGGTGAGTAAAGGTTATGGGGAGCAGTCGCAGCCAGAGGCACTTCAAGGCTCTTTGGATTCTTTGTCCGGGTGAAAAAGGGGTTCTGATCGTCTCCACAGAGCCCGGGTAGGTGAAGCTTAGGCTGTGGGCGCCGTTTTAGTTGACATGAGCTTGGGTGGATTTCCCAATACCCGGCTTTGATTACTCGCGTGGTGCAGCCAAGCCAAATCTGTTTTACACGTGGGATTGGTTTCCGTGAATTTCGCGTGAATCAAGGCAGGAACCCCCCCCACCCTTCAGTCCGCTGCCCTTTGAGGGGCCCTTTGTGGCACCCGTTTTTTCTCATGTCAAAGATGAGTCAATGAACCAACGCAAAGGGGAGAAGGGCGCCATATCTGAAACCATGGCACTGCTACGGCTGACCAGTGACACGTAAACTCGCGGGGGCTTTCATCGGCAAAGCCCTTCACAGAACTCACTTTCGACTTTCACTTGCTATATGAGCCACAATCAAAGCAGGGTAGATGCAGATTGATAAGGGACTGCTGTCCCAACCATGAGTCGTGAGCATGGTTTTGGGTAGACCATTTCAACATCAGATTTCGATTGCAGTTAATATGTCAACTAGACAGTTTGATGCCGGGAGTTTTGTAATCCGCCCATGCGATGGGTTGGCTTCCCAATGTTCCTGGACGATCTCTTAGCGAAGATTCCCCACGAGACTCGCATGATGTCAACCCAAGTGAGGGACCCATGGACCCACTTGAGCCAGATGTCGATATTTGCCGACCTCAACTTCCCAAACACGGAACCTAGCAGCTCCCTGCGTACGTTTCGCAAAAAGTGTTGCTTGTTTAGGTCCTGTTGGTCCATTGAACACACCAGGGCTTGGCACGTCCCTGAAACGGACAGGCTGCACTCAGTCGTGCCGGAAGGTCATTCGCTTAGGAACTGCGAACGCCGCTGCGAAAGCCGCATCGGAAACAGGCCGAACTCAGATTTGTTGTAGTCGAATTCCTTTCGTATGGTTTCCTTGAAAACAAACCTGGGGACGCCCTTCCTTGCAGGTTCTTGGTCCGGCCAAGTAAAGTTTGGTTCTTCGTAGCTGTGCTCCGGTGGCGTGGAGCCATCGAAGATCCCGCAACAACACGAGGGCTGTGGCCATGTCCGGGCTGAGCGAAAGCTGGGTGACCTCAGAGCCAGAATCAAAACCCGGGTAGATAAAGGTTAGGGGCAGTCGGCAGTCCCAGCCAGAAATGGTTAAAAGGGCCCCCTTTGTATTTTTTTTGCATTGGTTTGGGTTCACCATTTTAGTACCGGGTTTTGATTGTGACTCAGAGCAGGTTTCTTCTAACAGCATGTAACGCCACTCAGTTTGACACGTTGAGCGAAAGCTGATGGAGGCCTCGGACTCGGGACGCCAGGGCTCCGCTTTGTCACTGTACTTCCTATACCCCAAGATAGAAGGTAGACTTACACCCAGGGGTTCTTAGGAAGTGAACAACCCCTAAGCTTAAGTCTACTCTGGGGTCCAAAAGTAGACCCCTGTGGTCTCCATGGTTCTTTCTCGACTCCAGACGATCGTGACAGAAGCGGGCATGGACACGTGCTTCGCATGTGTTGCTTGGTCTCAGGGCTTTCTGAGCCTAACCATTGCGTGTGGGTTATATAAGTTAATTGCAAGGTGCAAATTGTGGGGTGCTGTTGAATCTGCTGCTGTTGAGCCAAAAAAGAAAGTCAGTCATGATACGAGAAGTAGACTATTGGTCACTGTAGTAATGATTCGGAAACAGGTTGATAGCTCCTTTTTTTAATGGAGGACGCTTTCGGGATCTCCAACATCAGCTTTAAGCTTTCGGCCCCGCTTCCAAAAGCTGCGGTTTTTGGGCGAATGCGCCAGGGGCTTTGTTGGACTTCGCCTGGGAGGCCGGGGTTGGCACCTCCAGCCCCATGCTCCTGATTCCCAAGCCGCTCGCCAAAGGGAAACTCTTTTCTTGCCTTGTGGTGATGTAGTGCCCTTCTCTCGCCTTTTTGGGGGAGGGTTCCTCTACTAAAATCGACTGCAGGGTTCTTGAGATCTTTTTTGGCTTCGTTTTCCGGCTCTACTAGGTCCACCAGTGGTAATTCTAACCTCTTTGCTGGAGAACCAGCAAGTCCAGTTTTCCGAACCAAAGACAGAATCACAATGTTTTGGGGGTCCCCGCAATTTTGACACATAGTGAAAGGCCCTCAAAAGGGAAAGGGGCCTCTTGACAACTGGCGAGATGTTCTCGATGGGGTATTGCAGGATCAATACTCTCACGGATGAACTTGAGAGGACCATGTCAATGGGATCTTGGCTTGATGTGTGCTGTGGATGGACAACATCCGCTTCGCCACACTTGGGATGGATTAACCCCGGGGGCTTGCTGGGTGGCCTTTTGTTTTGGTTGCTCTTTAGTTTGAACCTACTAAGCTTTTGACCTTTTGCCACATCACTGTTTCTCCACTCACCAGCAACTTGCAGGTCTTAGATTGACCGACGCAAAACGACTGGGCTGGGCAAGCAAACACACGCCTTACCCTGAGCTTTGGGTACTCTCCCTCAGACTACATGGAAGCTCCCGGAAGGCGTCCGCTCGAGAGCTTCAGTCACAAAGGGCCAGTTGGACTATTTGCTATTTATTTGTTATCATTATTATTAGTATTATTATTCTTATTTGTTGTCGTTATTATTATTATTACGGCCAAAACATCCCGCTTGCCCGCGACGTCTGCGACCGCCCCCGCCCCGACCCTTAAAAAACATGGCAGGCGTGGGAGCTTGTAGACCTGTGTATGGTGAACTCCCTCAAACACTTGGGGGTCGAAACCTGGATTTGGAGCACGTCTTGGGTTTAAACCCTAAACCCTAACCCTAAAAACCCTAAACCTAAACCCCAAAAACCCTAAACCTAAACCCTAAAAACCCTAAACCTAAACCCTAAAGGCAGCGGCAGACATCCCCATAAAAATGCTTGTGGGCGAGCCGCGTGTTTTGTGGGTATAATTACTATTATTAAAAACATATTATTATTATTCTTTATTTCATTTCTTGCACCTGGATCTTGATAGAACAGCAATAAGAAAATGGACGTCTCTGGTTGTGGTCTTCAAAGCCTGGAATTGCAACGTCGGAGCCGGTACTGGAACAGTAGGGGCAATCGCTTTGCCAATGTCACATGACAGGGCTCGTTAAAAGATTCAGTTTGCAACCATTTGAAACATGTTGTTTTTTCCACCAAATAAAGTTGGAAACCACCATTGACAAGTTGCAATGTTCAGGTGTTTTCATGTAAGGATCACTGCATGACGTCCTGTTTTGGGCGTAGATTGTCTGTCAAAGGCCACTTCGGTGCCAACACGGCACAGGGCGGCAGTTCTGTGGCAAAAACGGGACGAGGGATTTGGCCATGGGTCAAAAGCCAAATCGGTTAGCCCCCAGTAAACATCCCAATCCAACCACTAAAATAAAGCCTACAATGGGTGATGAATTCTGAATTCACCTACCCCCAAAATGGTACCATTGGTTTTGACCCACAGCCACTTTTTGCTGATGTTCCGAACCCAGATAGCGACCACCCAGAGAGCAGGGCCTCCGTAACGCGTCCTGTGCAGGCAACCGCCAAAGAGGCCATCTGCGGTGTCGCTCGGATCGGCGGAATTTGAGGTACTTTGCCAACCTGCGGTGAAAGACTTCGCTAATTCTAAGGCGATTCCGGGATCTTCAGTGCCTTCTTTATTTCCACAGCTTACTTGTTCACTGCAACTAAGCGTCATGAGCGTAAGCCGGAGCGCTGCAGGCAGCTGTCTGTTCAGTTTCCCAAATTCAGATCAGCGGATTGTGCAGGTGATTTTTGGGAGGTCCCCCGCTGAGCACGCTCCAAGGAAGGCAATTTAGGCGGCGTAGCCTTCAGAAATTCACGGATGTGCCGGCTCGATGTCTGGCTTTCTGACCTGGATGAAAGAGTTTGGGGCCAAAGGCTGAGATAATTTGGTGCCCCACATGTTGCTCTCCCATGATCATGAGGTGTTTGACGTTACCAGAACCAATTCCATTCTAGTTATTTTGGCCCTTGTACCAAGGGGGCAGCCTGAATTGGGCAATGTGTCAAGACTGAATTCGGTCCTTCTGGAGGAGGATGGTTGAATGTTTCTTTGCGTGTCCTGTCTTAGTAGGGGATACTCCAAACCATTGAATGGGTGCAGTCGCCTTGTTCATTCTTTACATTGTTCTGAGTGGACCATTTCAATACCAGGTTTTGATTATGACACATCAGACCCTGCTGGGCTAAGCATGGCAATAGTTATCAGCCCTACTTGAGGGGGTTGAGACAATCACCTTGTGAAAAATGGACCATGGTACAAATGAAGCACACGGGTTCAGAAGAGCGCCCACAATCCCTAGTGAGCAAGTGAACGGGGGGTTGTTCTATTTGGTTCAATTGGGAAAATAATGCGGCCTAAGCCTTCACAAACATGTTAGTAGAACCACACCTCAATGAGTTTTGGATGCTCAGATTAAGTAAGCCGATTTGGCTCCCTTTACTGTTTCGTCCTGTGCAGGGGGCATTGCTGTGGAAGCTGCTTGGTGCGCGAGGCGTGACCCAAGTTAGTCTCGCCCAGGGGAAACACCCCCCCAGCTTGATGAATTGCGGTTCCACACGATAATCAAGCTTTTTCTGTTGGAACCTGAAATGATACCAGCAGAACACGTGAGCTTAATGCCGGAATCATGTGCTCACGTAGCATTGGATTGAATGTGTCTTCCTGTCGTTCCGTGTCTATCTATCTACACATACAGATCGAATGTATAGTGGTATATTATGCACACATCTTGTATCAACTTGCATATTTGTTTGTTAGATTTATTTATTGATTTGAATTTGATTGGATTGATTGGATTGGATTGGATTGGATTGGATTGGATTGGATTGGATTGGATTGATATATTCATTGATTTGATTGATTGATTGATTGATTGATTGATTGATTGATTGATTGATTGATTGATTGATTGATTGATTGATTGATTGATTGATTGATTGATTGATTGATTGATTGATTGATTGATTGATTGATTGATTGATTGATTGATTGATTGATTGATTGATTGATTGATTGATTGATTGATTGATTGATTGATTGATTGATTGATTGATTGATTGATTGATTGATTGATTGATTGATTGATTGATTGATTGATTGATTGATTGATTGATTGATTGATTGATTGATTGATTGATTGATTGATTGATTGACTGATTGATTGATTGACTGATTGATTGATTGATTGATTGGATTGGATTGGATTGGATTGGATTGGATTGGATTGGATTGGATTGGATTGGATTGGATTGGATTGATTGATCGAGTGATTGATTTATCTGTTTATTTAAGGTTGGTTTTACATGTCTGTGTATGTTTCTACATTCATTGTCCATTATTTATTGGTTGTTCAGTTTTTTGTTGACGCATTTATACCTAAGTATTCACTTTATGTTATTGCAGCTTACACACTTGTGTGTGTGTGTGTGTGTCAAACATGAGGCACAGTGAGCTTGCAGAAGAACGGCTGGCGGAGAAACAGCGCAAGAAGTGGGAACTCAGATGTTGAAGGGCAACTGTGAGTGACAAGATGCCTTTGTCGGCTGTCCTGCAGCCGGGACCCCTTTTGCTTGGTGCTTAATTCAAAGCGGGATTGTCATCACATGTTTCACAGCAGAGGAAGTGACAGGCAAAAAGCGTTCTTTTCTACCTGGCTTTAAGCAGCCCAAAGTTGGATGCAAACTAGCTTGACCAGCGCCCCTTACACAAGGGGATTCCTGATTTACGCTTTGCAAATCATAGTTTGCCCAGAAATGATGATCCAAAACAGCTCGCTTGAGCTACCAACAGCTTCTGCCTACTGATGCACTGCTTGTGATGCACACATGAAACACTATCGTTTTGCACAAGGAGCCCAACCTTGGCATCTGCAGAGATCATTGTATCCCTGCATCCCTGGTGATGGATTTGTAGAGTTTAACATACTGAGCAATGACCTACTGTTGGTGTATGCCGGTGCACATACTTGTTTGGCGCGTGTGTACAAGGCTGTGCCTATGTTCGTGGTCGGAAACCGCATGCCTCTTTTCCCATTCCATGGGCATCAATATTTCACGGTCTGCACATCCCGGAAGGACCATACCAAGACCACCCATGCCTAAAAGATCAACAGTGGCACTCTTTGGCCTTATCTTGGAGTTTCCCGGCTGAGAAGGGATATGACCTTCACAGCTCGTGAAGGTTTTGGCACGTTTTTTTGGGGGGGGAATTTTGCTTTTTGGCTCTGTTCATTTTTAGCAGGGGGTTGCAAGAATCCACGTTTATTGCTACCATGCCCAGGGATGCGCAGTGATCCTTCCGTAGTCTTTGTGAGCCCCTTGAAACTCAGAGATATTACTGTAGGATTTGTCTCCCCAGAAAGCGTCTCAGAGCCCTTTACGAACCCCTTCTAACAACTTCCATTTGATTCAGTCGTTTTTTGTTTTTTTTTTAATCGATTTTCCCATGTTTAAAAGGGAAGCTGTCACTACTGGACATATATTGTGTTGTTTTCCAGGGGGCTCAAAATGGAAGAGACCATGCTTGTTGTTGGGAAACATTTGAGACATTTTTGCTTATTGCGGTTTAGTGGTTGAAATCCAACCACTCAACTGCTAACATGTTAAGCTTTTGCTCCCCTTCCAACGTCAACCAAGAGAAGGTTCTAAGACTCTTTTCTGGGAATCCAACATTTCCATAGAAACACCCGCACGGAACGCCTCATTCAGCAGGCAGCATGGCAGCACGGCCCAGCTTTGCAGGCAGAGAGGGATCCATGGGCCAAGAAACAGCTGCGTCTATATATATACATATGCATATATATATATATATAGAGATACATGTATGCCTGCATGCATGCGTACATACGTACATACGTACATACGTACATACATACATACATACATACATACATACATACATACATACATACATACATACATACATACATACATACATACATACATACACATTATATATTTATATATATATACATATATATGTATAGTGAGGCCGGCCCACTGATTTGCTGCGCTGCAGCAGCCGACGCATGTAGGTAAAATTTGACGGTTCCGGACTTGAGACCGCATGGAAGTTCTTTATAAAGAATTGTTCGAGCCCGACATGACTCATTCTGCTTTTGACAGTCTTTGTTGACTAAAGTGATCGACTCCTCCCAACGCATTACCAGTGCGTTAGTCAAGGAAACTCTGTTCCGCTGACCAAAAGGATTTAACCTTGAGATGATTCAAGGTATGCGCACGTGCGCCAAGGTGAGCTCAAAACGTCCAATTAATTCGGCTTGTAAGGAACTTTGCCCTCGAATGACTTCAAAAGTCGAGTTGGAATTCGCGACATCTATTTGTGTGGCATGACTCGGTCTGCTTTTGAAGGTCTTTGTTGATTAAAGTAGTCGACAAATTGAGCATCATTTGTGTTATTGTGAGAAAAGTAGATGCCGCTGCGGCCCGGTGTTTGCTTGAGTCGCCTTCCACCGTGTTGTGCATAATAGCTTATCCCTTTAACTTTATTTTGACGCAGGCAAGGATTTTTGATGGAGGCTTCGAGAGTAGCCCTATCATCCTGACACAGTTCCCTATGGCCTGTACAGCTATTAATGTCGGACAACGACTAGCAAATCAGGAGGGAAAATCCAGAATCCTGTTCAAACACGCCTGAAGGTTCACATCTTGCACGGCAGCACAAGTCCTTGCTCCTTGAAGTGTCCAGAAATTGGTCGGAACATTTCCTTGTTAGGCGTGTCTCGCAGCAAAGCCAAAACAGACAAAAGCCATTCACAGAGACGGTTGCTTTTGACTTGTGCCTTCCAATAGCACGCCGGTCGCGTCAGGAGAGAACAAGTTTGGCCTCTTAGCTCTGGGAACATGTGGACCTGGCTTCGTTTGAAGAGCAAAGCCTGGCATGCAAAACTCAGGACGAACTTCGAGCAGTTTGTTGCCAGTGGACGCGCTTGAAAATGCGGCTTCCTTGCAATCTCATACAGGAGGCGCGCACAAGATGACAGGACTCCAATGTCGCTGGCTGACCAACGGCCTGAAAGACTTCGTCCAAAGGCGTTCGTTCGCACAAGCTCGCCACGCCTCCCTGGCTTTGCGCTTTTGGCTTTTGCCATGCTGGAGCGGGTCATATCGCGCTGAACGATGGGAGCGCCAGTTCGTTGCTTTTGTGTTGATGGGATCCCTCCAGCGCAGAGCGCGGCTCGTGGCAACGTGTTCTAAGTACGGCTTTGCCAACTGGTCCGGTTTTCGGTCCGGTTACACTCATGATGAAGGCCAGCAGCCAGCAGCGCGACAGGAACATGGACGACTGGCTGTCACTCTAGCTCATCCACGCAGTTGGAACAAGCCTCGGATGACATTGTCAGTTGTCAAGCCTCAGTTGGAGCAAACCTCGGGGCGCATCCCTTGGCTGGATCAGGCATGGCATTGCGATGTTCAAGGGTTCCTTTTACATCGCGCAAGGTTCGGGAAAATACCCTGCCACGAAACCCACCAGAGGGTCCGTCTAGAGGAAAACTGGTCTTCCAGGATGTGCCGAGTTTTTCAGTGGCACCCTCCGAATCCTTTTGTATTTCGTGGGTTTCCCAAAGGCAACCTCAAAAAGACATAACCGTCACTGAACAACTTGGGAGGGTATTTTTAGTTTTCCTTAGTTAGTGCGTCCGCTTTCAGGGGATCCAGCCTTCCGGCTGCCCGCTTGGGCACGACGGAGACGCTTCTTCGAGCGCCTAGGCGCTCCGGCGCTGGGTGAGAAAGGGATTGTGCCATGGCCATTTGGATCTTAGATCAAGATGGAACCCCAAAAGCCATCAAGTACTTGTAGGAGAAGCGGACCCCTTATGAAAAAGCCGGAGCCCTTTTTTGTTGGGTTCGTTCCGTTAGGGGGAGAAGTCATTCTCCAGCGCCATCTCTTTGCCACACACCGGACAGCGGGCAGCTTTGAGCCGGCCAGCAGCTGCTTCCTTTCAAAATGGCGACATCCATGGGGAGTTGAACGAGGTCGTTTACTTGGGATCCATTTCTGTCCGGTTTTACAGTTCGATTGGTGCGGCTCACGATGGGAAACCGGTATCTTGGTGTTAGCTCCGTTCAGATTTATCTCTGTTCAGATTTCCAGATAAATTTTGGCCAGGCCGGCCGAACAAAAACAAAACACTTCCAAGGCCAGCGGGGCATGGGACCCGGAACTCAGGGGTTGGTTGCTCAAGCCCTTGGTGCCAGAAGCATGGGAGTGCCAAACTCCAACCATTTCGATCTTTTCGCAGCTCGCTTTTTTTGTTTTTTTAATGGAATCCCCCATCACTACCTAAAATAAAAAGAGACTACCAAAAGGACATGTCCAGAAGCTGGGTCCAAAGTCAGCCCTTAATTCTCCTGTTGTAGGCGTGCCCCGCTACGGATTATACAGGAAATCATGGAACATCGGAATCCCCTAAAATTTTGAACAACCCAGTGAAAGGACTCGCTGAGATCCTGGACTATATTTTTTTGGGGAAGACCATGTTAGTGGTAAACAACAAGTTTGGACCTTTTTTGACCAACACACTCAGGAAGTTGATCCGGTGTGGTTTTTGTTCCTAGGGCTGGCATTTTTACTAGGCTGGGTTGGTTGGTTGGTTGGTTGGTTGGTTTTTTGTTTTTTTGGTTTTTGGTTGGTTGGATGCACGGTTGGGTTGGTTGGCTTGCCGCATCCCCGGCATCACCAGCCTGACTTGGCCCGGGGGCTGCCTGTTGGCTCTGATTGCACCAAAACTCTCCCACAACTCACGCAGCCACATTCCTAAAACAACCGCTTAGCCGGCAGCACACCTCCCAGCCAACCCCAAACCCACCCAAAGTCAAACCTAAAGCCGCCCAACAGCAGCCTGGATGTCAGCTCTTCGCTTTGCCGAAATCAACCCCAAGACCCACCCCTCATGAAGATCTAAGCCAGCCTAAACCCCCCCCAAAACCAGCCCCGGCAACTCCCAACTTCCAATCAAAGCCAATAGGCACCCCCGTGGGCCTGGGGAAGTTGCCCGAGGAAAAAGAACACCACCCACTCAGGAAGTGGAACTTTGTATTCGTCTACGTATTTTAAAGCGAGCTCACCTGGGGGTATAGCAAGGGTCCTTGGAGTCTCCATGACCCTTAAAAATGGGGTCCATGACCCGATTTTGGGTAATGACCAACCGTTTTTTAAGGGTCAGAAGCAGACTCCTTCCCTAGAATGAGCTCCCCTTCTTCATTTCTCGCTTCTTTGGGTCCCCTTTGTTTTCCACTCACCAGGCCAACAACAATAATTTGTTTTTCCCAATCATATGTTTTTGCCGGGGTCCGAACCTATTTTTCCCCCATACATTTTTCCACCGTCCCAAAAGTACATACGTTTTTTGCCCGGGGTCCGATTTTTCCAGCTTTGGCCTCCACAAAACCGAAGCCAGGCCGCGGCGTGGCGCGAGTGGCTCAGCTGGTGACCGCCCGGAGCTCCAGACGGGGGGCCGAGCCACTGGCCTGGCTTTGCAAGGTGCTTTCTGCCTGTTTAAACAGTTTCTGCCTGTTTTCTGCCTGTTTTCTGCCTGTATTTTCTGCCTGTTTTCGTCCACTCATGAACCTTGCAGCTGCACAAAGCTCCCATCTTCTGGTGAGTCTTTCGGAATAACAGGGCTCCTGAAAAGATGTGGCCATCTTGCCACCAGTTGAAACATGCCGCTTTTTTCCACACCAAAATACAGGGAAGCTACAATATACAAGGCAATGTTCAGGTGTGTCATGTAAGAATCCCTGTTAAAAGGGAATCTATCACTACTGCACATATATTGTGTTGTTTTCCAGGGGGCTCAAAATGGAAGAGACCATGCTTGTTGTTGGGAAACATTTGAGACATTTTTGCTTATTGTGGTTTAGTGGTTGAAATCCAACCAGTTGACTGCTAACATGTTAAGCTTTTGCTCCCCTTCCAACGTCAACCAAGGGACTAGGTCCAGCGATCGGTGCCCGACCTCTCACCCCTTTTTTGGTTGGGAGCTTCGGTTCCCCTACTAAAATAGGCCACAGACAAATAAAGGTACCCTTGTTCTAAGCTCCAAAACTGGAGGACCTAGTTGATCAATACATTGCCCACGACTCGAGTTGCCCTTTACCCCTCGTTAGTTTTTTCCTTACGGAGAATAGTCCAGAAGTCTCGTGGTAAAGAAGGTTACGATGTGGTCATGTGTCAATCAACCTTTGTAGTGCCAGTTGCCATGATGAGAACCCACTTCAGTTGGGTGAAGGTAGATGCCACAATCCCTTCATTTTGGCTTTGTCAGCCCCTTCCCAGAGGGTGCAAGTACCTCATGAGGATGGCTTTTGGGGGGTAAGAAGGGGTCTAAGTACCTCCTTAGACTTTATACACCCACACAAAAGGAGTTGTGCGATCTAGTTTCAGTAAGCAGTTTCGGTGAGCTGCTGCCTGCGGCAAACTATACCTGGACTAGTAGCACACGTCCGCTTCCATGTGAACTCCATGCAGGGAACAGCTGGCTTTTTTCGTGGCCAAAAAACATTGGGAGGGCATGGTACCCTGGGGAGAGTTTTCGTGGATGTGGATCCAAACCCTCAACATGTTTGAGGGTGGCAATCCTTGGACCCACCTGTGCAAGAAAAGATCCCTCATGGGCCTTGAGCCGTTCTTCCAATGATGACCCTTCCGGATATCTTCAGCAGCCCAAGATAGATGTCAACGACTCGTTGGCAAACTCACCTCATGAAAGGAGCCAGAAAGCCTATGCCGCCTATGCCACGGCTCAAACCAGAGTCAAACACAACCAATCTAAACAGCACGATCCAATAAACACAGATTCACGGATTTTTGCAAGCCTGCAGTTAGTGAAGCCGTGGCATATTTCTCCAGAAAATGAAGCCGACAGTTTGTTGACTAAATGGGTTCAAACAAATGGCTAGACTGTTGCAAACATGATAGTGCTAGCGGTTAGAGCCCGTTTCTAGAATCCGTCAAACGGGTCCCCTGAACAATGGATTGCTTTTCCCTTGGATTGTCAAAAAGGGGGGTTTTGAGACACGCTTTTGGTTCTTGGCGACATCCTGGAACTGAGAGCTATCTAAAAGTGAGGTCGGTAAGCTCAAGCATCGCCAGTCAAAGTTGCGAGTCCTGACGGCCTTGAGAGTCAACACCTTCTCACTCTCTTGGGCCATGGGCCGGAACATGCTTACCTCTTAAAACATAACTTTTCAACTTTTTGGGTAACATGGGCTATATGTCTGTAAAAGGTTAACTTCCCCAATCCTTGGAGTTTTAAGGGGTAAGCATGGAATCATTTTGCCCCGAGGCCATCGCGAGCAGTAGGATCCAGATAAATTATGCGAGGGATGGAAAGCAATCACTGAACCGTCGGGGGCAGCACCGCCAGTTTTGGCCGGCCTGTCCCAGGGCGAAAAGGTGCCTTCTTAACTTGTCAGTTCCCAGCGAAAAGAAAGGAGAGAAACACAACACCGCCAAAAAGCAGGAACGCAGAGGCTGTGGAAGCACGCAAGCCCTGAGCGAGGCCACAAAACATCGGAACTGAGAGTCGCGAATCCAGGCCAGGCCGGGAGCAAGAGGCCTAGATAGGTTGCCTTGCGTTTCTATTCTAGGCTGATAGAAACTCTAGAGGAGTCTCGGAGTCGCTGGCACAATTGCTGGTGATGCCTGTGCTGCCAGTGATGCCTATGCTGGTGATGCTTATGCTGGTGATGTCTATGCTGGTGATGCCGGTGATGCCTATGTTTTTGCTGGCAACAGTGATGCGAAGGTGCTGTCATCTATGATGGCTTGTGGTTTCTGATCTGTGAAACTCTCCCGCTAGCGAGTCTCATCACAACGCAAACCCCAGGTTTTCTGGAGGAGCCCGCAAAATCCAGCGGACGCGTATCCAGCGTGTCGAAAATGGGCGGACTGTCCTCTAAAATAACCGTTCATCAAAGGCCCCCCACTTCACATGTGTTTCTGCTTCAGGCTGAGTACACTCGGACAACCTTCTCACGCCATGAAGCTGAATGTTCACTTGCCCAGTGGAGAGGGTTACTCCTTAGACGTCTCTCCAGACACGCCCGTCAGCGAGCTGAAGGCTGCAGCGCAGCAGCATTTCCAGCGACGCTTGCAGCTCGCTGCGGAAGGCCGGCAGCTCGAGTTGACGGCCACTCTGAATAAGGCCGGGTTGCGAGATGGGGACGTGGTGACTGGTGTTGTGCAGCTTGGCAAGCTGGCTGCCACTGACAGGGCATTCGCTTGGCATGGCCATGGGGACGAGGTTGCGACCTGCGGTGATCCAGAATATGGCGGAGACAGCAGCCAGGTTCAAGAGCAGCTGGGGAACGTGCAACACATCCAAGCAACTGACTTTGCTTTTGCTGCAATTCTGGAATCTGGGGCTGTTGTGACCTGGGGTAGTCCATTCTATGGCGGAGACAGCAGCGAGGTGCAAGAGCAGCTGATGAACGTCCAGCAAATCCAAGCAACTCAGGCTGCTTTTGCTGCCATTCTTGAATCTGGGGCTGTTGTGACCTGGGGTCATCCAGCATTCGGCGGAGACAGCAGCCAGGTGCAAGAGCAGCTGAAGAACGTCCAGCGCATCCAAGCAACTCGCGGGGGTGCTTTTTCTGCAATGCTAGAATCTGGGTTTGTTGTGACCTGGGGTCATCCGGTACGCGGCGGAGACAGCAGCCAGGTGCAAGAGCAGCTGAAGAACGTCCAGCACATCCAAGCAACTCGCAGTGCATTTGCTGCCATTGTTGAATCAGGGGCTGTTGTGACCTGGGGTGATGAAAGAGGCGGCGGAAACAGCAGCCAGGTGCAAGAGCAGCTGAGGAACGTCCAGCACATCCAAGCAACTGACGTTGCTTTTGCTGCCATTCTCGAATCTGGGGCTGTTGTGACTTGGGGTGATCCAGAAGACGGCGGAGACAGCAGCGAGGTGCAAGAGCAGCTGAAGAACGTCCAGCACATCCAAGCAACTGCAGCTGCTTTTGCTGCGATTCTTGAATCTGGGGCTGTTGTAGCCTGGGGCGAACCATCCATGGGCGGAAACAGCAGCCGGGTGCAAGAGCAGCTAAGGAACGTCCAGCACATCCACGCAACTCTCGGTGCTTTTGCTGCCATTCGTGAATATGGGGCTGTTGTGACCTGGGGTGATCCAGAATTTGGTGGAGACAGCAGCCAGGTGCAAGAGCAGCTGAAGAACGTCCAGCACATCCAAGCAGCTCGCGGGGGTGCCTTTGCTGCCATTCTTGAATCTGGGGCTGTTGTGACCTGGGGGGATCGAGGCGGAGACAGCAGCCAGGCACAAGAGCAGCTGAGGAATGTCCAGCGCATTCAAGCAACTCGCCGTTGTGCTTTTGCAGCCATTCTTGAATCTGGCGCTCTGGTGACTTGGGGTTGTCTAAATGGCGGCTGCTTTCAGGTGCAACAGCTGCTGAGCTTGTAGCATGGACGGCATTCTGTGTGCTAAAAGCGAAGGGGTACTCCAGGGGAACGTGAGAATGTACGTCAAAGATAGAGGCGAGCAACAGCTCCGTACTTCTTGGAAGAAGGTTAGTTGTGCAGGGCTCCTGAAACATGGCTTTTTCCACCAAAATAAAGGGAAACCACCATTTACAAGGCAATGTTCAGGTGTATAATGTAAGGATCCCTGTTGTGTGTGTAACGTTTTGAAGCCCGTTGTTTTTTCTTTCTTTTTTCCTTTTTTTTCTTCCGGAATTGCTTTAAAGGGAAACCAGAAGGGAGCCATTCACTTTAGAGGCTTTCCATATGAACTCACCTAGTTTTTTTCAAGGGAGCAGTCTGCATTGTGCGATTGACCTCCGAACTGGTGGTGTTCCTTTTGGTTTCCCGACAAAAGCAGCATGAACCTGGCAACCCCCCCAAAAAAAACCGACCACACAGGAAGATTTGGGTTGACCTCGAGATGGAAAGGCCCTTCGCCTGCGGATCGATCCCAGTTCCGGCCGGTGTTTTTTTGTCTTCTTCGGAGTTCTTTTCTCATGTCGTTGGTTCCCAGAGCTTGCTTCCTTGGTTCGCCCGTACAAAGCCCGTAAGGGCAACAAAAACACCGGAAAAGGGCAACGTGAAAAAAACAAAAACCACCCGCGTTGAAAACGGCCTCCGTATCTCAGGCCTTTGGACTCCCTGGGGTTGGTTAAAGGGGAAACTTTTCCGGAGTTTGTACCCCCCAACTTTTTGGAGACCAAAAGGAAAACCGAAGACATTTGGGGGGCCATGTTTTTGTTGGAGGGAATTGAAAGGAACTTCTCCGGAGTTCTCCCCTCATTTGTTTGTTGGTTAGTAAAGGGAAACCCTACCCCTTTTTGGAAACCCCTTTGGCGGGGGTTCCAAAAGGAACACCGTTTCCGGAGTTGGTACCCCCATCTGTTTGTTGGTAAAGGGAAACGTTTCCGGAGTTTGTACCCCCCGTCTGTTTGTTGGAAACCGAAAGGAAAACCGTTTGTTTTGTTGGTAAAGGGAAACCAAAAGAAACACAATTGCGCCGCTTTTGGGGTCTGCGGCTTCCCCGAAAAACGGCGGGCTCGCCGCCCCACTTCAGCCGCCCGAAGGTGCCAGAGCTGGGCCCGTCGAGGAGCCGCTTCGGAGCGGGTTTAAGACCCGGTTTGGGGAAGGGGAAGCCCTTTTTTTTTGGGACCTATGGAGCAAATGTCGGCTCTCAAACTAGATTTTTGGGAGTTTTTCTTTTGCACCAGAAGAAATCTAGAGCAAAAGTTGCCTCTCGAACTAGGTTTCTGGGGGTTATCAAAGGCAACTGGGCTTGTTTTGCGGGTGACTTCGATGGTGAATTTATAACTCACGCGATTTGTGGGAGAAATTGGCCAAAAACACACCTATTGCCAGTGGTGGACCTTCTGTTTGTATGATTTACCCCCCTGGTTCACCAGCAACAGAGGCTGTCGCCTCTAAAGTTTAAGCGGAAACGAAGAGTTTCGGTTAAGGCTAAAACACGAACACTTCACACGCCACGCGTTTGATAAGGGGCGTGGGGGGGGGACCCTGTCTTTCTTTTTGGTGGCTTTCTCTGAAAGATGAACCCGCTTTTTGGCTTGTGTCCCTCAGGATAACATGGTCTATTAACCTCAATAAACAAGAGATGTCTTAAATGCCTGGATGAGACTTAGACTTTACAGTGCAAAGTGTAGCTTGTAACAAACTACACCCGGTACTCTTG